TGCGATCATCTTCCGTTGTACTGATGTAGATGCCTATATTTACCCAAGAAGGATTAGCTTCACTGGTCACGGACCGAAACCCGAGAGCGGTATCGTGGATGGGAACATTCAAACAATCAAAATAAATGAATAAGTCATCCTTATTATTCGATTTTTTAAATTACATTTACTGTTTTTTAATATAAATGGCACTAGTGAACATCAGTTATTGCTTAAAACGTGTGACTGCATACATAAGTCTGTTCCATAAGATACAGATAGTGAGAGCGTAAAGCGTCAAACACATAGTTTGAAATTTCATGAATTGACATGGATTTGAATTAGATAGAACTCAATGTTTTACAGAATTTCAGTAAACTTGATGAAAGTGCAAACAATTGTCGTCAAACTCTTAATAGTGACGGGATTTAACAGATTAATTATTAATTCATTTGCAAAATATCCATCAGATGTCTCATACTTGATTATTCCTTCGTTTTCATATCAAACACTCTCTGTTCCGGTTCACTACTCTTCGATTTTCTCAACCTTCTATTCCCAGCAGAATATATATATACAAATTTTTTTCATATAATAGTCTCATGGATGCTATCAACGAATTCTATCTGATCGTTAACTATTGTTTAGCTTCCTATTTACCTCTTAAAAAGTACAGGTTTAGTAAACCTTACGAATTATATATACCAGCTAAATATCGTGATAAACTAAGACGCCTACATAATCGTTACTTTAAGTCAAACGACCTCAGGGCAGTTGTACAAATAACAATAATTTTTAATCAAATCAAAGGAGAAACATGGGTTAAAAGCCATTAATGAGGAGATACTAGCAGTTAATATTAACTCAAAGATACAAAACCTAACTCTCCGTTTCAATAAATACGTTAAGGCAACTCAAAATGTTGATATACCATGCATCCAGCATAATAGCACTTTTATATACGACTCTAAAACTATAGCAGACCATTTCAGTGGTATTTTTGCGAATCATTTAGAAATCATAAATGACTCTGCTTCGAGAGTTATGTGCGTGATTAGCAACTCAATCAAGCCTATCTCGTTCACATGCATGAAAATTAAGTAGGCTATGAATACCCTTAAGCTTTCGAGAGATCATTGAGCAGACGGGATTTCATTCTTTCTCTACAAATATGGTGATCCAGATATTCCATTTCTTCTTCTAAAGCTGTTTACACCCTCTATGGAAACAGGTTCTTACCCTAACTGTTGGAAGACTGCGTACATCATACCACGTCACAATTCTGGAGATAAGGCTGACATGAACAATTATCGGCCCACAAATATTATCTCTAGGATTATGGAAAAGATTATAAGTGATGAACTTTCCAACTATTTTCTCTCTGGAAAAAACAATTTATCAATGATACTCAACAGGGATTTCTTAAAATTCGATCTTGTATGACATGTCATTTTGACTTCTTCAATTTAGTCTATTCTCTACGTAGCCAAGGATATCTAGTCTTAGTGCTATATCTGGATATTTCTAAAGCCTTGACATGGTTAGCCACCAACTTCTTATAGGTAAACTCGCATCTTATGGGGATCAAAATCCTTTGCTAGCTTGGCTTGATTCCTTTCTCAACAATCGACATCAAATAGTTAAAATTAACTCTTCATTGTCTAATGCTGTCCCTGTTAGGAGTGGTGTAATACAAGGTAGTGTCTTAGGCCCTTTGCTCTTTTTAATGTTTATCAATGATATTTGTGAAGTTTTTGTGTGAGTAAGCCCCTTCTATATGCAGATGATCTTAAAGTAGTATATTCGTTTTCTCCAAATGACCTGAAAAATATGCAAAATTGCATCAGCATGGAGCTTAACAATGTAACACAGTGGTGCTTAACATGGCAACTGGAGCTTAACACGGCTAAATGTGGATGGATATGCTTCGGCGATACATCACTAAACCTAGACATTACCATAAATGGTGAAGTGTTATCTAGGTTACATACAGTAGTAGACTTAGGACTTAGATACTCCCAAGACTTGTCGTTTACAGAACAGTTATTGAAACAGACCTCTAAGTCTCAACGTCTAATAGGTTACATACTCGAAACCTTTATAACAATGTGTCACTTATTTAAATGAACAAAGTTTGTGTTCGACCTCTCCTAGAATATTGGACGACCGTTCATAGCAGTGCGCGCATAAAAGATAAATTAAGGCTGGGATCAGTACAGAGATGATTCACACTTCGTATTCTTGGAGCTGATTTACCTTAACTTATAATTCTCGACGTAATAAACTTGGGCTCGACACTTTAGGGAAGAGGAGACTCAAACTTAATCTTATCTTTTTCTTCAAACTACTTCATAATCTATCGTTTACATCCAATCACGCGATTCAATATGCAGAAACTTCTCATTATGACATCGGTAATTCTTTGGCACTAGTGAAACAAACTCATTCTAAGTCATCTCTTTATATGAATTATTTTACCTGTAAATTTTCTAGACTCTGGAATAACCTATCACAATCTATCCGTACGATAAAATCACTCCCATTATTTGTTCACTGCATAGATGCATACTGCTCCTCTGAAAATGCATTGAATGTTGTAGCATCTGTAAGTGTATCTCATTCCACAAGTGATATTATAGGGAGTTTAAATGTTTAGCCATCTTTATTAGTAAATTCCCTAAGTAAAACCACTTACTTGCTGTCACTTTATGCTGTAATACATGTACTACGTAAACAATTACTGAACTAGTATACTTAAAACTTTCTTCTATCACATGTTTGTTCTTTACATCTAACGTTACTATTCCTATCAAATTGATCATGCCTGTAAACTGTCACGAATTCTGTAATTATTATTTTCAGAATATATATAATATCACTAACGTCAATCGTGATTGCCCATTAGGAGACCGTTATATATGAGCTTTACATTAACAACAACAAATTTTCTCTTGGCTACTCGGAAATATAGAAAGGTGCATAGACTTTTGTATTTACACAATGTTTCCTTTCATGATAACCTTCTTTTTCTTCCAGTTAACATTGTATATTCTTTGCTATACATGTCATTTCACTTCTTTTTTCAAATGAATGACATTATATTTCATTATATGCTGGTAAACTTTAAAAGTGACCGAGATTAAGTTTCGTTTTTAACCTTTCATTCGTAAAAGTTGAAATGTTGTTTCACAACTCTCAGCGTGTATTAAATGTTACTCATTCGGATTTTTTTAGTATCGTCATACGATCGGTTGGATTAGTAAACGTACGCTCACTAATAAATACTATCTTGGGTCTATTCGCTGAGTTCTTGTGAGAAGCTAATAGTGGTGGAATTCCTTCATATCTGATGTGAAGTAGTTCACAAGCATGAAAATGGTAGATATCGCGAATTGATTGAAATTAAAAATGACAGTTCAGTGGTTTAAACGTTAAACGTACCCAGCTAGATCTGAAGGCACTTCCCCTTTTCAGTCTTTGATGTGCATTACTGGAAATTCTTATACCAGGATAAAAGCGTTATCCAGTGCTTCTTAGTTTCCAGTAGTTGTCTAACTTAGATCAGACAGAGGTACACATGCTGAAATTTAAATATTTTCACTGCTTTCTAAGAAATTATAGCTTTAGCGTAAGAAAATTGATGATTAATTATGTGAAGTGTTGTTTTGTGCTTATTAAATTTCTATTCTTCTTCAGTAGGTACCAGTCTGTTCAGAAATGGGACTTGGTTACAAATTATCGAAGTTGAGCGAACTTTACTAAGGAATGATGTTAAATATGACTTCGACGATGTTTCTTAACAAACGAGTTTTAGGTGGGTAGTCTCAGTGAATTCTTCAAGTAAAGTCTATAAAGAGCGGCCTGCCTGAACATCTGGGCTACCTGTTCCTGCCATCTAGATATTTCAACAAGTCATATATTTTTGTTTGTTATAATATATCATTATGTTTATTAATCGTATAGCCTATTCTGCTGCGTTTCTGAAAAGTGTACAACCTTTCGTTGTCAATGTTACAACACAAAAGTCATATTGCCATCAACCACATTGTGGTTAAAAAGAATGTACATTATTCAGATGTTCACTTAGTGAACTGCTAACACCTAACTGGCGATCACTCAATATTTATAGCCAGGATCGATCAAGAAGAAAGAAACGGAAACTTTTCGAAATACTTTACACTGAGAATTCTATATTGTACCAAAAATATAATACTGAATAAAGCTGATGATAATAAAAAAATAAAAAAGTAGCTATGACAGGACCTGAGTTTAATTAAAAAATACGTAAAATTCTGAATGTAGCCAATGTACTATGTTTTCATAATGTATCATAACATGATCTCATTCCTACTAGATTATACACCTGTTTCTAAACGATTTCCTTGGCCTCAGAAGATCCAATTAGGGATATATGCAGTCTACAGGCTCCAATATCCATCATATCTGCAGGAAACATGGTATTATGCGTCTGGACATTAATATGAAAAACAAAAACTTTGTGGAAGCAAAGGTGGATAGTGGTTAGCAGTGGAATCCAGTTTGACGCGCGTTTCGTCCTATTTGGGACTAGCCAGCTGGATGTACCTGCATCTCGGAGTTGATGTTCACTGTGGGACTTGAACCCAGTACCATTCGCTTCAAACGTCATCGCGTTATCCATTCAGCTACTGAGTCCTGATAGCCACTTGCTTGTGCAATGTGGTGAATTTCAATTCACTTGGTATTATATGGCTTGTATCTTCCCGCTAAGATTTAAGACTGCAAATGATCAGTATGTTATTGACATATGTACATACTGTGTGTATGCTTTCATCTTTATTTACAATCATTCATTCAATAATAAATAAATATTTATAAATATTATTTTTTATATTGAAAAAAAAACACCGAGACAAACTTATGAAAATAAGACAATAAACCTTTTTTGTTTATAACATTACATAGTTACAACACATTTTGTTGCCTTTTACATAAATAATTTGTCATTGCATAATAATAATAATAATAACATTATTATTATTATTATTATTATTATTATTATTATTGAAAATACGGCGTAACTATAGTTTATGAACGAACCAATCAAATACAAGATAATAGACCTTGAACTTTAGCGCGTAATTCATCCGTCCATCTATCCATTTGACTAAATAACATTTTATCATTCTAAATAATATGAATTCATAATGAAAATATTAAATCAAATTTATAATCTTAATTATTAATTATAAATCATGATTGTAATTCTTCATATATTTGATCTTATTAATTATAAGATAGATCTTTACAAAATCACTTTAATATCATTCAATGATCGTTTATCAATGATAATCTCATTAAGAATACCAATTGAATGTATATATGTGTATATTTGTGTGTGTGTATGTGCGCGCACGTAATCAATAGATGATCGATCGAATTTATTCAATATTTAATTGCTCATTAATATTGATTTTTTCTTGATTATTATCATTTGATTTCATTGATAATAATGAATTATTAGTGATTGTCATTTTATTAATTGTATTGATTATTTCATTTGTATTATTATTATTATTACTATCATTATTATTATGTAAATGATTTAATAATATATTATATAATAGATGGTTACATTTACATAAGCATTGTTCTTGATGAATTGCATCATTTTGATGATGATCATGATGATGGTGATGATGATGTAATGTATTATTATTACCATCATTATTATTATTACTGTTAGTAGTAGTAGTATGTTTTATTCTTATATAACATCTTATAAACATTTCAACTAATTCACCTAATGATATAATAGATAAACCAATCCATATAGAAAATAGACCACCAGTTTGTGATAATAAATTCGTCAATGAAATCACTTCTTTTTCTTCAACTTTACGTACATCAAAATTAGGTCGATTAATTAATATAGCTAATAATTTACGTTCTAACACATTTAATTTATCTAATATATTAATAGCATCTAATTCATTACCTAAATCTAATAATTCAATTGCTTTATGATATAATATAAATTCTGTATTATTAAATAAACCTAATTTTTTATTATATGATGAATTTAACCATGTTAATTGCCAACTTTTAGTTGGCCATGTTGATATTGATTGTTCAGTTTCATAGGAATAAAATGAACATGGTATTTTACAATTAGGTAATTCACCATGTAAATAATTTTCTATAATTGTACGTTTACACATCATTCTTGTTATGAATTTATTTAATTCATGAATACATATATTACTTATATTATTATTATTAGTAGTAGTAGTATTACGATTATTGATTTTCAATAAATCATTACGATTACAATTTGATATATTGATAAATTGTAATAAATTAGTACATGGTTTGTAATTAGTATCTTCATTATATGGATATTCAATAGAATAACAATTACAATAATGTATTATATCATTTTGTATAGTTAATTCACGACATGCATATTCTGAATAATTATATAACATATCATATAAATTTAATTGTATTGGATGATTGATAGAACATCTACCATAAGGTGGCATTTTTTGTATATTCTCTATAATAGATAAACGTAATTCAGTTAATGTACCAGGTTTTAAATTAATACTTTTATCATTAATATTTGGTAATGTATCAGCACCATGTATTGTAATTAATGCACCAGATAATTGTGATTTTACTTCACCATGAAAACAATCAATACATTGTGCACGATTTAACATTTCATCTAAATAAATATACATTTCTATATTTGTTGTATCTGAACGTAAATAACTAAATGGTTCAAATGTAGCACAATTTAAATATTGTGCATGAATAAATTTACGCCATATACCATTACGTTCACATGGTGCGGCTACTGGTTTACTTCCATTTAAATAGGTTATCTATAAAGAAAAATAAGTAGATCATTGAAAAATGGTATATAAATTATGTATATAGTGAAAATTCCCATTATAACATTTATGAAATAAAGAAGGAACGAATCGAGTGATAAAAAACTTCTTCTCAATTAGTTTTTCCATCATGGCTGTACACTAATATATATACTACTTACATACTTACGCCTACAACTCCCAATGGAGCATAGGCCGCCAACTAGCATTCTCTAACCCACTCTGTCCTCAGCCTCCCTTTCTAGTTCTATTCAATTCTCATGTCTGTCTCCATTTCTCGGCGTAATATGTTCTTCGGTCTTCCTCTTCTACTTTGACCTTGCGGATTCCATGTGAGGGCTTGACTTGTGACGCAGTTCAGTGTATTCCTCAATGTGCGCTTCCTCCTGATTTCTTCCCACGCTTGCATCTGATGTGTTCTCTCCCACAGTAGGCTGTAAGTGTCCAATAGAGTCTGATCAACGGTTCTGAAGTACTTTGAGGAAAAAACTGTTAATAAACACTTGTATCTTCTGGATGATGGATTTCGTAGTTCTCCAGGTTTCCACACCATTCAGTAGAACTTTCTTGACATTTGTATTGAAAATTATGATTTCGGTGTTGGTTTTGAGTTGCAGATGTTTTTCAATTGTAGATATGTTGCTTTTTCTTTTCCAATCCAATTCTATATGCAGTTATGGATACCCATATGAAATGATCAACAATTCATTGTAATCCTTTCTTTATAATTCTCCAGTTATTATTCAACCATTAGTCAAACTAACTTGACATTGACAATTGATGTGCTTACACTTTATATAGCATTCTAAGTGAATCTGAATTCTATATGTAAAATTTACAAATCTCCTACATTTAAATCTTTTATCATACATTTCGTAAAGCTAAAATTACACATAATACTCAATGAAATGAATCGATTTCGTTCCGATTGACTAATATATGTTATATATATTATAATCTAACAATTACAGAATAGGTTGAAATCATGAGTCAATTGAAACTAGACCACCATGGAAAACCTGGAAGCATTAGACGGTCGTTTCGTCCTAGCATGGGACTCCTCAACAGTGCGCTTCCAGGTTTTCCATGGTGGTCTAGCTTCAATTGACTCATGATTTCAATCAAAACCTTAACAATCTCCACAACACCTAAATTGATAATTACAGAATATTTGTCTTTGTTTCATTGAGCTTTAAGCTATACTTCAGATACTTCTTGAGAACCTTTAACGCAAATGTTTGCTCAGAACGTTTCATTATAGTGAAAATTCCCATTGTGACATTTGGTAAGTAAAGAAGTAACGAATCGAGCTCAATTATGAATTTAGATTAGGTGTAATGTTAAAATAACAAAACGATACACAAATTATTGCATATTCTTAGTCTCGATCCTTCGTGATTACAGGAGGTGATAACTAGTAGGTCTATTTATTGATCATTTAGTTTATTCTTTTTATAAAATACATGACTTTCGACTAGTCACTCATTAACCCCTAATTCAATATTCATGTGATAAAATAGATGGAATATTTGACCTTACTGTTGGGGTGATCCAAAAAACGTCTCGCAAAAGATAAGAAAAGCTCAGGAAACATTAAGAAGCATTTTATCTCATCAGTGTTCACTAGAAATTAGCCAGAAACAATAAGAAAGTGAAAAGCCACATGTAGAGTTTCTGATTGACTGATTACTATACTGCTACTATGTTTATTAGCATTCCAAAATTTTCGAGAAATCCAAGGACATCTAAAATACTATAAAACCTCATATTTTCTGTAATAAAACGAACCTTTGAAGTAAAGTGGTTCTCGCATATTTTGCACCTTTTCTCTCGTGTTCAGGTCACTGTGTAGTTCTAGTTTGGGGGTTACAAGAATAGCTTATGAACCGAATATAGCGTTCAATTGGCAAGACTTACTACTTACAATAACATAAATAGGAAAATAAATGTATATGATTAAGTCATAAGTCAAGAAAAACTATCTTACAGGTTAATAGGTAATTAACACTAATTTTAGGTTACATAAAACATCTAACAACGGCTAATTAGCCAATTGGACGATTATAATACAAGGATAATTTATTATAAATAAAATTATAGTAATTCACGTCCTTATTAATTATATAATAAAAATTCTAATCATAATCTCCGGTCAGATAATCCTAGATCCACTAAAAAATAACACAATTAGACTGTAGTTATGATCATAAAATCTATGATGCATATGAATTCCATTTGGTGTTGTTTACTTGAATCGTCCGATTGATGTCTAAGACTGCAACTGATCAGTCTCTTGTTGGTATGTGTGCATACTCTAAGATACAGGTACATCCAGCTGATGAGTTCTGAATAGGGCGAAACGCGCATACTGGATTTCACTGATAACCACTATCCATCTTTGCTTATGTGCATATGGATTAAGATAAAAGGTTAAAAGGACAAATTCAATTTATTATTTATACTTTACAAAGTTAATTTTATAATATTCTTTTTTAGGTAACTAACGTTTATTATTCAGTTAGATCCCACTTAATGAGAACTGGTTGAAATGTAACCAGTTTAAAACAACTTTTATGCTGCACCTGACACTTCTTTGTTGATGTGGTTTTAACATATGACACCTTTGAAGAATTTTGGCATAAACTCTGTGCACAGTTGAAATCCCGAATGAATCTTAGCTAGACTACCATGAAAGCCTTGAAGCGTTGGATAAACGTTTCATCCTAGTATGAGGCTCCTGAACAGTAAGCACCCCCTAACTCCTCACTCGGGAGTCGAACCCAAGACCTCTGGTCGCGCATTAGGATGCTCAACCTTTAGACCACTGAGTTGTCACTCACACACACACGCTTATACAAAAAGTCAAGGTGCTTAAGCTAATAATTATTAAGATCAAAATTTGACTCAAGAAGAATGAATAAATCCGTCTGTCTGGAAGCTAGAAAAAGCTATATGGGCTCGATATAGGGCCAGCCACTACATCTCCACTAGCGCATCTATCATGTTTACTAGAAATAGTGTTAGATTTCCTACTGTATTCACTATAGTGGATAAAATGTTGTCGTTTAAATTATTAGGTATAGAGTTTCACTGCCAACATGTACGTCTAGCTCACAAGTCCCAAATAATACAAAACCCGTATCTTGAACAACGCTGTTAAACCCAATTCAAAAACATTAAAACATATTATTATATATCATAGTGATGTATATAAGGAACAAAGAATAATGAAATTTCAATCCAGAATTTCAATAGTAGGAAATGAATACTTCCATATACTCTTGAAAGTCTAAGAATATTCCATATAGTTAATTACTTCATTTAAGTTTGTTTTTATTCAGTTCTTACATAAACCAGACTAGTTTAATAATTTGTATCACATAAACTTACACGGATTCATTTTATCCTAAAATGTTTCTTAGTAGTGATTTTTTAAAAGATGTCCCTTTTTTCCCCCTTCAAATTGAGTATACCATCTTTGTTTTCTTGCGAAACCATTGTTAATATGTGCTTTCTATTATTGTTATTATTAAGATTTCATTGCTGGTTATTATTATTATATAATCAGTTACTGTTACAATAAACCTTTTTACTTCATAATTGAATAAGTAATTCTTTTGAATATTGTAGTTAGTTTAAATACTTTCTTCTTTGAAGTACTTCATTAAATATTCATTGTAATTCTTAATTATTTATTATCAAATAATTGATCATCATCAGTTTTGGGGGTTGTGGAGATTAAGTTTTTGATTGAAATCATAAGTCAATTGAAGCTAGACCACCATGGAAAACCTGGAAGCACTGGACGGCCGTTTCGTCCTAGTGGATGCGCACTGCTGAGAAGTCCCATACTAGGAGTGGAACTAAGCACTTTATACTTATTTGGTGAAGTCACTATTCACGGGATAAAAAAAGTAAGACATAATCCTGCTTCATTGTGTGTACCTTCTAAGGCATTTCGCCTATGTCGAGTTGCTATATATTTGTGTAGAACCTTAAAGAAGAACTAATTGAAAAGCAATATTTCTTCTATCAACTTGTCTTTTTAATGTCTCAATACGAATATTTGATGAATTTAAAAAAATAATCAAAAGTCACCATTATGTTTCATATGGTGAATATAAATTGTAAACAGTTTCCAAAGGAAACATAAAACAAGGTTAGTGTGATCTATTGAAGTTTAGGTGATAATTATCTACTTAATGAATATCAAACTGATGAATAATAAACAAATAAGTGAAAACAATAATTTCAATGGTTAAGATCATGAGTCAATAGAAGCTAGGCCACCATGGAAAACTTGGAAGAACTGGATGGCCGTTTTGTCCTATTGTGGGACTCCTCAGCAGTGCTCATCCACGACCCCGCCCTCTGCGAGGTTCCAACACAGGACCTACTGATTTCGCGCGCTAGCACTTAACCACTAGACCACTGAGCCGGCATCCAACGCCGTTAATGTCTAACTCCAAATAATCCATGAAATTGAGCGACACATCCACCATTGTCTTCAGTGAGTTACTATCTCACAACAGACCTGGTTGAGCTCCATTGGTCATTACTTCTCACTAGAACTCCAGGATATACCTCTTGAAGCCAGTCACTAGTGAGCATAAAATTAGGACGGATAAATAACAAATAATATAAGGGATTAGACATGTTTTCTTTAACAATAGAGAACAGTCCTGAATTGGTAAAGTGTTTAATCAAAATATCATAAATTTATTTTGACAAGTTTAAGATCAATAACTTGAAATTAATAAAATTTCTGGGTTGGGACTACAAATTTAGGATAATATACCTGTATTAAAATTGAAGTTATCCACCTTATAAAAATGGATGTAAGGTTTCGGAAGATCATGAATTGATTAAAGTTAAGCAATAACACTGTCACATGCCGACTGAGCCGTCTATAGGGTAAATGTTCACGCGTGAGACCGAGGGGCCTGGATTCGAGTCTTATGTGTGAGATGGTTGATGATCACTGGTGAGGA